ATTCAGAAAAAATTATTGCTGAAAAATAAAGTAATGTAAATGTAAATGCTAATAACAAAAAGTGTTAGAGTGAAATATTTATTGTTTTACTATCCATTTGTTTGCCCAGAAGCTGAAAGAATTGCAGCACAGCAAAGGATTGTTTAAAAATGAAATCTTATTTAGCGACAGTGTATTAGTTTTATAAAAGATCATTTTTTGTAACAAAATGAAAAGGTAGATGTTCATTTAAGTAATGCATGATGAAAAAAATGATTCGTCAATTGGCAGAATATTTTTGGTGACAATCACGTAATCTAAATCTCTCTTGGATTTGCAACAAAATTTCCAGTTCGTTCTGCACGAAAGTTTACACTACTTGCTCAAATGAGATTTAAATTTAATATAAGAACACATAGACTTTAATGACTTGAAAAATGTAAAGCCACAAAAAATGTTATTCTTAGAAAAAGAGTTGACCTTTGTTGTTAGATTTATGAGCGAGTGGACTAACATCATTTTTAATTTTCTCAATCCAGAATGTTTCCCTGCTTTGCATAACGAAAAGAAATGCAGGTTGATTAGTCAGAAATAGTTTTAAATAAAAATTAGAAACTAGAAAAACAAAAAAAGGCTAATGATGAATATTTTAATCTCTGTGTAAAAAATTTTCCAAAAATTCTGGAGGAATTGAGTTTAAGCAAGGAACGTCAGTTATAGGTAGAAAATGACAATAAAAATTTGCTTCACTTGATTTAGATTTCACAATTATAAGTACAATTATTTTATTGATAATGTTATAATAATTATTTCAGTTTCAGGTAATATATAACACATGTGAAGGACAGAAAATTGTTCCAAAAATGCTAAATGAAATTTTTTATTTATACAATTCAATAATTATACATTAATTGAGAATTTCTGCTATTTATTCTTTAGCACTTTCGTGGTTAGGAGTCTGCAATACTTTTCTACTATTTTATAGCTGCAGTCAGTTGTTTACACGCTAGTATAATTTCTTCTCTTATAATTCGGACATTTGATCAGCATTCCTGGTTTGATTCCCCAGTTTAGCATTCATTTTAGTTTTTCAGCTTTTTTGAAATAACTTGCAATTATCCAATGCTTTAAACTAATTCTAGTTAGGAACTCTTACATGTTCAGTATTTTTTCAATTCTTCAAATGGCTGGTGAAAAATTATTTACTCCAATTAGTAACTAAATATGTTGGTTTCTTATTACTATTTATATCCTACATTTTAAGTTAGTAAACCAATAATCTCAATCATTAATTTTTTCGAAATGCCAGTTCAATCAGGGTTATTCAATTTATTAGTTTTACATTAACTATATTTTAATTTTTACAGCTTTGGTTGGTCTTGATATGCTGACAATAATTTTTTATTTACTCATCAATCACTGAGATGTATATTTATATGAATTTAGATAGTAGGTTAGGTTCATTAACGTTCCATCTATAATTTAATTTAAATTTCACTCTTTGTAGCTTTAAATTCTTTAAAATTTGCTTTCTCTAATTTTTCACAAGTTAATTGTTCTTTTAAAATGAATCCAAGAAAAAAATTTTTCACATCATTAGATTTTTTATCTACATCTTCGTCTGGTGTTTTTAATAATTTCTCTAATTTTTCACAAGTTAATTGTTCTTTTAAAATGAATCCAAGAAAAAAATTTTTCACATCATTAGATTTTTTATCTACATCTTCGTCTGGTGTTTTTATAATCTTCACGTTAATAATCTTTTGAGTATCAAACTGCCAGGATATGCACAACTAATTTTATGGTTTGCCATGTTGTTGAACGCTGTTATATGGAAAGGATTTTGAACTTTTTATTTGGTCATTCAATCTACGATTTTTTTCACAAAAAGGCATTTTTTCAAATAAGGATTTTAATTTGTATTTATAAAAATATAATATAAGACAAACTGAGAAAATTTGTTAATGAGTTTTTATTAATTTTTCTTATTTTCCTCGGGTAACAATTTACAAAGCAGCAGTTCAAATTTTGACGTTCAACACCCCTGAAATTAAATAAAATATTTTATAATTTTTGGGTTCATTTGAAGATAGTTACAAAGATTCTAGTTTTCAATCACTTGTGTACATGCACTTAAGTTGTCGAGCTGAGAAGTGATGTTTGACTTGGAAATGACTGTATAGAAGCAAGTACCATCAGCGTTTGGATGACTAAAAATGTCAATTCTAGAGATAATATTTACGTTGGAAGTGTGACATCTGTTGTGAAATAAAAGAGGCCAGCAAGTCACAGAGAGTGGGAACCTTGTTAAATGTACTGACAACAATCAGATATGTATGATCCGAACCAGGTGAGTGCACGGCCCCTTATGCCAAAATCATACACTAATCAACTAAGCAATGTTTTTTGGTAGATAAATCCAAGCTTAAAAGGGCAGCACAATTTTAAGTTCCGCAGATGTCGGTCTTATTATGATGACCATGGGTTAATGTTCATGTAATGTTAATGGCCTATACAAACTTGGGCAGTTTTTAACAGATTAAGACAGGTGCTTGATGCAATAAGGGAAGATTGGCGAGTTTTACATAGATGAGGGCAAAAAGTTGTCTAGTGACGATCGACGGGGGTGGCTTGCTCAGTGAGATGTTGAAAAAGATGAGACTTGATATTATTTTCATATTATTTTTGTGTTGCATATTGCACGTATCAGAATTTGAATTTTGTAGTATACAAAGTATAAAATTTTTTTAAACCCCACCAAGCAAAAACCTGACTTCGCCTATGACCTGATTCAAATAATTCAAGTGTTTTTTTTTATTTCAGATTTAAATTTAAAAGGATCAAAGTAAAATGAATCCTATCAAATTTTTTGAAATTTGTGTCACTGGTCATATTTTTCAATCATTCCCAAAGGAAGATACAAAGGTTTTAAGAATTGTATCCGATTTATTAGGAGGTTTTTATACTTTATTATAATTTTTCAGTAATAAGCTCCTAAACATTAGAATCACTTAGACTAGTCTCTTCTTCAGCCTTATAAATATACAACAACACACGTTTAGACGGCATTTTCCCCGAGATCGGGGGTTGCCGTTTGGCTACCTATGATGAAACCGAAATACCCCTCGACGCCATCCACATCTGTCACTCGCCTCAGTATCACGCAACCCCGCTTTCACCCTGTCCTCCACCTGCTCTCTCCATCCCAATCGCGGACGACCCCTTCCTACCACTCCTTCAACCTCGAACTCCAACGCTCGCCTAATCCCGACCCTTTCATCCCTTCTCAACACATGTCCATACCACCGCAATCTCGATCTCTTTATCAATGTCACAATGTCCTCATTCAGTCCCATCATTGACATCAGCTCTGTACTACTCCTCCTATCCTTCACTTTAACCCCACACATCATCCTCACCATAGCTCTTTCAGCCCTCTGCAGTACACTTTCCTCCTCTCTCCTCAACACCCAAGTTTCACCACCATATACCATCGCTGCTCTCACACATGCTTTATATACCCTCCCTTTCATCTTCACTGACCATTTCTTTCCACACAATACCCCACCCAGTTCCCTAAATTTCATCCATCCCACACGAACTCTAGCCGTAACTGCGCTCAAACATCCTCCATCCGCATTCAGCTTATCCCCTAACTAAACAAAGCTTTCCACTCTTTCAATACCACCACTCAACCCCGTCCTTGCGTCCGTCCTATTAATCACACCATGAACACATTTCTTACATTTGAACGTGCCTTCCACCTTTTTCAGTGCCCCCCTCACACCACTACATCTCTTATGCACCCATTTCTGACATACTATACACAATACCGAGTTAGCCTTCACTCTCCTATCACATACCCCACAGGGGTCCATTTTACTTATCACTCGTTCCCCACCTTCCCCACTCACCATTACCTTCGTCTTACCAATATTAACTTTTAACCCTTTCTTTTCAATAACACTTTTCCATCTGTCAAATTTTAACTGCAATTCTTCCATGCTATCAGCCATCAAGACTAAATCATCTGCATACAAAATCTCAAATAACAACCCGCCATTATGTTTCCACACACAACATCCATCACAATTGCAAACAGAAACGGTGATAACACTGATCCTTGATGCACTCCTACCTTAACACTAAAAGCGTCCGACATCCCCCTTCCAACCCTCACCTTTGTCTTTGCCCCTTCATACAGCTGCATCACAGCTTTAACAAGTCTCTCATTCACTCCTTTCTTCCTCAACGCCCATTCAATGACCTTCCTCGGTACTCGATCAAAAGCCTTTTCTAGATCCACAAAACACATGTACAATCTTCGTTTCTTCTTTCTATAATTCTCCTGCAACATTCTCAACATGAACAACGCATCCACCGTTCCCCTACCAGGCATAAACCCACACTGCATTTCATTAACTGTCACCATACTTCTCAACCTCCTCTCAAGCACCCTCTCCACTACCTTCATTCCGTGCTCTAGTAATTTCACACCCCTGTATGACCCACAATCTCTCACATCTCCTTTGCCCTTATACAACGGCACCAACACACTGTGTCGCCAATCCTCAGGTATACCTTCATCATCAAACATACTGTTAGCAATTCTCATCATAACTTCAATTCCTATCACCCCACTCGCTTTAATATGTTCTGCCGCCACTTCCGAAACCCCTGTCGCCTTACCTAGTTTCATTTCTCTAACTGCTTTCTCTACTTCCTC